TCCCACCGACACTAACATGATGTCTAATCTAATATAATTAGGATAAATTGATTCCATTTTTTTTCCTAATTTGATTCAAATATTTCCTATTTAAGATATTGATGGATATTTTAAAAGTCATGTTCGCCCCGTTGAAAACGAAGTAAGAGAAACAGAAAGATGAAGGAAAGATGGAAATTATGTCGTTGAGTTTAAAATAAACTTTATTATCGAATTTCCATTGTCTTTTTTTTTTTCCTTTGATTAAATTTAAAGGGTCGAACTCTTTCCTTTTAAATGGATGTGATATCAGTTATTGTAGTGTCACATCTATATTTATAGAATTAATAAATATCTTTAAAAATATGTCACATACACTTATACATAATTGCAACTAAAAAATGAAAATAAAAAACTACTAACAAGTATATTTTTTTTACAAATTCTAAAATGTTGGATACTAAAACCATTACTTTTGAAATAGGTAGACCAAATAAATCATAATCCAAACTTTCGAGAATAAAAAATGAAAACTGAAAATGTAACTATTTACTAATTTTAAATTTGTATAAAAATTTTTCCTCTGAAAAAAACTTCCAAACTTTATAATTATTAAAATCCCACTATTCCACTATGGGATGTGGGATCGAATTTCCAACATTTTGGTGGGAGCTACGCTCGCGTTGGTTCCGTTTGTCCTTATTTGTTATTTTTTTCGTCTAAATTATATATATATAATTTTCTATCTAAAAAATTGTCTTAACAGTTGAATTATCATTATAATATAGAATAATTTAAAGTTTATTAGGTGAATTAACTGAAATTAGTTAAGGGATGGTTTTTAAACTAAACTTAACCTACCTTGCACGTCTAAATCACTCAACTTTCCAGCTGTGTTTGCGTGAGAATTGGGATATTGGGAATTGAATTACCCTTCCAAACTCAGCAAAATTAATTAAAAAAGAAGAAAAAAAAAAGTTGTAAAAACCAAACTGCACCTTTCATTGCCTTCTGTTAATGATGAGTTTGATTTTGGTTCAAAAGTTCATCTGGGTTGGGGCTTCTTTTACACCTTTTTTGTTCACTTATTAGATTTGTGGTTGGAAGTTAGAAAGTTAGGTCTAAATGTGTAATTAGTTGGAGGAATTGTTTGTTTTAAATTACAGATTTGATTGTGACTGCACGTTAATCGGACTATAATTTAGTGGATAAAATACTTAATTATCTTCTAAGGTTGAATGTACAATTTTCCGTTCCAAATCCGTTGAACTCAAGAAAATTAAAGAAAATTGTTAGGATAAAAGTGTGGCTTTAATGATACTAAGGTTTTTAAATAAATTGTAGATCATAATAAAGATGATGGATTTTATGAGAACAAGTGGTTTTGATGGAATTTTTAGGTGGAAAGTTTAGAGTTGACGTTATTTATTTTTATTAAATTAAAAAAAGTAATATGAATAGGTTCTGTTTGATAACCATTTTTTGTATTTAAAAATTAAGCTTAAAAATATTATTTTCACTTATTTGTTTGTTTTGTTAATACATCTAAGTTTTCAATCAAAAGTTATTATTTAAAGTTATAAATGTCATCAACATGTACAAAAAAAAAAGTCATCAACATGCGTGTGTTAATGTAATCTTTTTTTTTCTAATATAATATAAAATTAATTAAATAGAAAAAACTAATAAATGTCATGCTTTTTTTTTTCCTTCCGTGTGATAGTACATACTAGTTCTTATAAATCATAAACTCATAAAATAAACTCGAATTGTATAAACACTGACTTTGATACATTTTTTTTTCCTTTTACATAATCTAAGTATATACCTTTAAATTTTTCAATCTTGAATAATTATACCTATTTACTTTTCAAACCCATGAATTAAGATTCTAGAACAAGCTAGAGTTTGGAGAGAGAGGGAAAAAGAAAGCTACCCAATCAAAGCTCGGGTGAATTTTATAATAAAAGTTTGTTAGAAACATAGAATTATATCAATTGGAGGGGCTTTTCCAAATGGAATCTTTAGGTAAGACTGATTATCAAGGCTTCATTATTTTGGTGAGAAGAGACCTCAATAATAGGGACTTATAAGTGGAAGCTTTAGTCATTGGGTCAAAGAAAAAAAAAAACTAAAATAACCCTTTTTTTCCTCTTTTATTATCGACGAGCCGACGACCTTTTAGCCTTTATGCCCCTACACCTGGGATATGCGCACACATTAATTATTTAACATAAGGATCAATTTCGTCTCTATACTTTCAATGATACAAACGATCTAGTCTTTTTGAACTTTAGTTTGTAACGATTTAATCTATATACATTCAATAATGGATAACAAATTAGTCTATGAGATTTTAGTATATAACATTTAGTCCTTTTAATTTATAGTTTGTAACGATTTAGTCTATATTAATAATTTTTTTGTTAAGTTTCTTATATATGTATATCGTTAAACCGATGTGGATTAAATATGTTTATAAACTACAAAAACTAAATCGTTTTATAATAAAAATACACACTTAAATTTGATGAAAATTTTTATGATAGGACTAAATTGCTACAAATTTTAATTTATAATTAAGGACTAAATTGTTACTACTTTAAAAGTATAGTAACTAAATCGTTACAAATTAAACTTCCGGAAGAATAATCAATAAAATATTTAAAATTGAAAGTAGCAGGTGTAAATTTTGAAAGACCAAAACATGATATGGAAGTTAAATTAATGAAGGAGACGGAAAGAATATCAATTATCAACAAAAACTTTCATATAATATCTTTCAGATATCTCGACATATTTTTTGCATAAATTTATACCAAAATTTTATTTTAAAATGTAATAGAAAGAAGATCGAATGAATTATATACCATTTAAAATTTAAGTTGGTGTTTTGTTTTTATGTCAACAAATTAAATTAAAAATGCTATTTTGGTAATGATTCTAAGATTCATGATTTTTGACAAATTGTGATTGTGACATGTTAGCCATTTTAGAAACATCAATCGTTTGTCATTCAATAAAATTTATAGTTCCACCTTATAATTGCCCTAGAATTTATTAATTTCCACCTAAAAATTATTATGACAAAAGGGTATGATTTTCTTTGTTGTCACCATCTTTACATATAAAATATACTAATATGGAGTCAATTTCAACGTCGTTTAAATGAATATAAAACATTTGTTACAATTCTAAAGGTTGATGGGTTGATTCTTCGATCTATAATTGTTTAACCTATAAAATGATACCAGTCAGCAACTAAAATATGTTTTCTATCTTCTTCCTCTTTTTTTTCTTTTCTTATAATTCCTTATAGAATCTCTCAATAGACATGCAATGAAAATTAAGAAGAGGAAGAGATTCATTTCTTTTTAGAAAAATCTGTGTACTTAGTTCACTTCGTTAACTTTTAACTTTAAAATTTTAATTTTATCCAATTAAATTTGAAAGGGGTGAAATTAGTGTCATTCATTTGATTGAGATCCCAATTTTAATGAAGGGCTTGATCTAATTGTGTGCATTGCTGTATAGGAGGTTATATTCGTAAGATTTTTATTTTTTTAGTTTTACAAACATGTGCCTAATCTATCTTTTTTAAATACGACATATATAGACAAATTCACAACCTTGTATTCCGATATAGATGTCTTAACCAATTAAGTTATGTTTAAATTGACTTGTTTAATCTACTAGAGTTATTATGGGTCGATTTATGTATAAGTTTTAAATTTTATTTTAAGAAGCTATTAAGTTTTTAAATTTATTCAAGTTGTAAGTCAAAATCTGATACATGAATCAAAAAACAAGATAAAAAACATGAATTTGTCCTAGATTGTCTACAAGGAGATGAATTTCTCCTTCTTTTCATAATATAGTTTTTAATTTTTTAAATTAATAATAATCTTCTTTATTTTACCTTTTTCTAATACTTTTTTTAAAAAAAAAATCCTCTTTTTGCACTTCCTTTCCTCTCTTGACAAAAACCCAATTTGACACTTCTCATCAGTCATTTCTCAGTCTTCCAAATTTTCTCTCTCCACTTTTCCTTTCTTCCTCCTCTCTTCCTCCAAAAAATGGCTTCACCGCCGATCACAGCCGTCGCCGCCATTCTCTTCGCCTTAATCCTCGCCGTCCTCCCGCCGGCGACTAGTTCCGACGACACCTGCCCATATCCCTGCTACCCTCCCCCCACCGGCACCGGCACCGGCGCTCCGGCCATCCCATCTCCGCCGTCACAAACGGGTTCCGGCTCTTACTCTCCTCCGGCGTACTACTCGCCGCCGGCTGCATATTACCCGTACAACCCGCCGCCGTCCGGCGGCAACAACTTCTACGGCGTCTCTCCGCCGCCGCCGGACCCGATTCTGCCGTACTTTCCTTACTATTTCAAGAAGCCTCCTCACCAATGGGCCGATGAATACGGTGGCGCCGCCGTCGCCGGACGCAAATCGGGGGTCGTGATCGCCGCCGTAACATTTGTATTTATCTCTCTCTTCTTTAGTTTGATGTAATGGAAAGCTAGCTGCTTTTCCCTTTTTAATTTAATGAATTAATTTTTTTTTTTATCTTCCCTTTCCCTCTTTCTTAAATTTGGAAGGCTAAATAAATATTATTTCTTAGTTTGTGAATTATGTGAATGTACTAAAAAAAAAAGGAATTATGAGGATTATATTCCTACATTCTAGAAATGTTTTAAGTCGTTTGTTTGTTTGTCTCTTTTTTTTCGGTCTCATTTTTTATTATTAAAATTTTAATTTGATTTGTAATATATCGGTAGTTTGAATTAAATCTGTCAATTTTATTAAATAAATCGACTCCATTTATTATTTATTAATGGAGAGATAAATTGGGATGGCAAATAGATTATGAGAGTGTATAAAAATATCTTTTAGCACATGCATTTGATATTTGGGAAATGATTAATTTTTGTAGGGAGTCAGTCAAATTTAACTTTAATGCTTTAATTTTTAATAAATTGAAGCTTCAATTAAGTATTCTAGATTAATTCATTTTCTGTGACTAAATTAAATTCTTATAACTTGGTGGGTAATTTTTGTGGGGGCTAATTTTTGTAATTGTGTTTGTGTTTATTTTGGTTAGTTTTGGACATTTAAAATGGGTTAGAAGTTTCTAGACCACTTGATTTTAGAATTAGTAACAATTATTTTTTTACTACTTTGCAAAATAAAAATAATAAAATTGAGAAATGTTTATCATTTTATCCCATTTAAAATCCTGATTATACAACGATGTTTAAATAATTTTTTAGTTTATCTTTAATATTCACCAACCTGAATCAATGTCTCTGTTTATGAGTTGTAAGTTCAACCTATTCTTTTATTTGTAATGTATTACAAAAAAAAAAAATACTTGATTGATCTTTTTTTTTTCAAAATTCATATTGTGGTTTTTTTAAAAATCCTAATTTTAAGTTTAAAAGATAGATAAGATACGGATTCGCGTATATTCATATGTTGAATTAGTAGTTGAAAGTTGACCCATTGTGATAGTTGATTTGGAAAAAGAAACAGAAACGAGAAAACTTAAAATGGAATGCTTAAATATCTAAAAGTTCCTTGTCTTAAAAAATTGTAAATAATTCTAAAAATATGTTAAAAGTTAAAAACATGAACATTAATAAAAACACACCTATCCTTTCAAAAATTAAAAGTAATGAGTAAGAAAAAAAAAGAAATCTAATATTATAGTAAAATTTTATCTTATCTAATATTAAGATAAGAACTTCTTCTGCCAACATGATCATTGCCCAGTAGGTAAAACAACTACTTCTTCCTTTTATGTCAGATGTTTAAACCGTACATTTATTGTACTAGAAAGAAGAGAAGATTTTCGCTATTAGTTGTTGAATGATGAGGGAGCTTCCTAATTTCAACATGTTTTTATTAGCTAACAAATTAATCATCTCCTTTTAAGCTTTGGAAAAGATGAAATAGAATTTTGTTCATCCCAACCTTTTAGTTTGGGAATCATCTTTTTGTACTTTGGGTTTGTGGGGGAGAGGTTCTCCTCGAAGGAAATAACTTTTGTTGGGAGCTATATTCTCCTATATATATATACATATATTTTAAAATATTTTATAACAAAAATAGTTTATGTTTTAACTAACAAAACTAGAGCATTAGAAAGATTTAAATAGATAATTGCAATGGACGAACTTGATTCTCGTCTCGTAATGTTGTCACCAAATCAATGAATTTAAATTAATAAGAAGTTAGGGTAATAGAAATAGCATTACACACTAAAGGGGTTGTATTCTAACTTCCAAATAAAATTTTTCTAAGGCATTTTTTTAATTAAAATTCTAGATATTAATTACTTGACTTTTTCAATGTTTTAACGTTTACATGAATGATACCACTTGAACTGTGCTATGTCCTATTGGGCTGCATTTTTTTTTGAAAGCTTCGTTAAGATCCACTGGGCTTACAAGAGCCCTCAAGTAGGCTTACAAATTATGGGCCGACTTTCTATCTGCATAACTTTCAGGCCCAATTTGAATTGGGCATTGAGATTTAAGCCCATTACCTACTTTTCCCAGGGATACACGGGAGTAATTATTTTTCAAATTTTGGAAGAAAATAGATTTTCGAATGTTAATTAACCGATTTACAATATCAAAGTTAATCAAGGTGATTTTCCATTTCAAACTCCCATCAATATGATGTTGTAAATAATGAGATTTTTATTAACATTGTGTGATTATTAATATTTTTATTTGTAAAATAACTAAACATTATGAACTTATTTTTTATACCATTAAAATACTATAACTATATTACTTAGGTTGGAATCATAGGTCAAAAAGTGTCATGTCACCTTGATGAGAGTGTAAAGATACTAAGTCTAGAGAATTCAACAACATATATAGATCTGCCACCTTTCTTGGCCAAGCCGACGAATACACGTCTGATAGTCGTACGTGCCTTCATAAAGGTTCGAGCCAACCAATATAGATTTCAACGGCCAACCTTCGAAAAGATGAGCCGATGATATGACACCACTCCTTGGTGCTCTTAGCCATTTTTTTGACAACACATGGTGATTTTTCGAACAACTGTAATCGTTGAGAAAGTGACATTCTTGGGTTGAAACTTATAAATGGAGAGTTGAGCCTCACTTTTTAGTTAGGCTATATGATTCCTCTCTTTGAGAATAGATCAAACTTAGATTGACTTGAACGTCATTGCAACCTTTTTCTCTCTATGTGCAGGTTCTGAGTGTTGATCGGTCTCTCTAGTCTGAGCTCTATGACGATTGTTGATGTAGGATTCAGCCGAGCTATAGCAGGTTGGCCACCTGGCAGCGAGGACGAGTCGATGAGGTGCGACCTTCAGCAAGAGAGACCTACAAAAGGAACAAACACTCCGACACTGAAGTTAGAAAGAACGTAAGCTACAATAAGTCAGTCTCGGAGCAGAATTGCGACTTACGCAAGGGGTGGAGTGTTCCTTTTATAGGTGGGAGGGCAAGGGGGGACAAGGTCGTTGTAACCGCTTCGACCAACAGTTATGGCTGTCGAGCCCCCAAGTCGAATGTCGGGCTTGAGGTCAGAGTCCTCAGGTTGGCTTGCACAGTTTTGGGCAAGTCTTCACAAATACTGGTGTTTAGCTCGGTACTAAGTCAGGTTGGTCTTCCTTACTAGCTTTGCTAACCGCCTTAGATGATATCAAATTGAGTTGTTAATCCACCTGTCATGGTGTATTTTTCCCTCCAACAATGATTATTTTCGTGATCAAACACCGTATGACCGTTAAATTATTTTCTAATACATAAAAGTATTGGTGTGAGATATAAAGTTTAATTAAATACATGTAATAGAGAAGAATCACCACAAACAATATTTGAGGTTGTTTGGTAACATTCATGTTTTTCGTTGTTTCGTTGTTTCATGTTTCTTATCTTTCGTTTTAAAGAAAATATTTAAAAAATTAAATTTAAAATGTAAAAATTTGGTTTCTTGTTTCTTATTCTTATTTTGTGGATAGATTTTATACTAACAAAACGTATAATTAAAATTAAAAAAAATATAAAATAACAATATCTATTATTTTATTAAAAATTAATTTTCACGTAAAATCTTGATTTTGTAGTTTAAACTTTGAGTGAAAAAAGATACAAGACACTGTTACCAAATACATTTTTCACCTTTTTTTTTGTTTTTTCTTAAAAATACAAGAAACGAGTACACAAGGAAATGGGAATCTTACCGATCTATCCTCTTAATTTATATAATTTTGCTAAATATATAATTTTGTTGGGAAAATTGACAAAATAAGTTTCCTGTAAGGCCTTCTCAAGTTTTTTAATCGCTCTTCTCAAAACACAAGTTTTCTAGTCATTGCTGACATCACCTACGCCAAATGACCTCCCATGCCCCTCCTTACCCTTTTAGGTTTTCCTCCCTTATTTCTCTTTTTCTTTATTTCTTCTGTCTACCTCCAGAAGACATGAGTTTTTTCTTGTTTACTCTACCATAAAAAAGAAACCTAAATCTCTCACCATTTTTTAAATAGCAGCCTCCATAGTTCGCGTGACCTTCAACAATCGCCGGCAACGGATGCATCAAAGCCGACGAGGGGGTCGTTCGTCAAAGAAAGAGGCTCAGGAGAGGAAGAAAGTTATGATGGGATGGGGAAGGAGATAGAGAGAGAGAGTTGAATAAGAGAAAGTTGAGAGAGAGAGAATTGAGCGAGAGAGACAATTGAGCGAGAGAGAGAAAACGAGAGATAAGTGAGCGAGAGCGAGATTGAGCGAGAAAAATTGGAGTGGAGATAAAAGAAATCTCAAATTTAAAATACTAAGCATTGAAGATTTTTTTAACTAAAATTTAAAATTATAATGGATTAATTTTAGTATATTCAAATTTGAAATTTAATTTAGATTTGTTTTCTTAATTGTTTTTTTCATTTTTAATTATTTGAACGAATCATTTGAAAAATTAACATAAATCTCTCCTTTAATATCTCTCCTAATTTTGATTAGGATTAAAATTCAAATTTATAATTTAATTAGGTAGTCCTCCTTTAATCGTGGAAGTATAAAAAAAAATCATGTTTTTTCCTTAATCTCCTCCTCATAAATCTGCTCCTTTAATCCTAAATTTAAAATTTAATTTAACTCAATTTGGTGGAGTAAAGAAAAAAAAAAGAAAAAGAAAACAATCCGTTTTTTCCTAACCATCCCCCATTTTTTTCGTTATTATCACCACTTCTTTACCTCTCTCTCGATCTCGCTCTCGTCTTTCTCGATCTCGCTCTGTCCTTCTCGATCTCACTCTATCGATGACGTCACTCTCGTTCTCGCTTTGTCCCTCTCTCTTCTCTCCCCTCCCTCCTCGACGCATTTGGTTTTGGTTTCATGGAGAAGAAGATAGTCCGTACAGGGACGTGCAAGAGATATAGAAGGAAAGTTTTTGAAATCTTGAAAATTTGATTTTAGAAAAGAGGATGAGAGAGTTGGGAAAAATAATAAGGAAATTTTTATCTTATTTCATATGAAAATTATTCTCTCCCTCTTTCTCGCCGCCGGCAATGTTGTCATCGTT